AAAAAATAAGAAAATTGAAACAAAAACATTTCCCAAAACCGTACAGGCCCTAATACTCATGGTCCATGAATTTACACATGTAGTTTGAAGTAAACATTTTGGGCTAGAAACTTCTAGTTTTGTGTATAATAGATTATTCTAGTTGCTACCTACCAAGTGATATCACCCTTTATCCATGTACATTATTGATTTTTTTCTCACCAATTATTGTTATTACTATGAACAGACCAGAAAAATTTAATGGATAAGCACGCAGAAGATCAGACAGAAACTTCTCTTGCTTCTTCAACTCAGGAGCAATTACCAAGCCAAAAGGAAGCTAATGTTGAGAAGGCTATGGCTGATGATGATTGTTCGAGTGCAAACCAAACAGATAAAATCAGCCCAGATAATTCTTGTTCAGATGGTGCTGATGTCCCAAAAGGGAGGCCTATGTCTCCTGGAACTTTAGCATTGATGTGCGATGAGCAAGATACAATGTTCATGACTGGTGCCTCCCCTGTTGGATCAAGGGCGCATGCTTGCAACACATCTTTGCAACCACCTTATGGACAAGGAATGACAGAGGTCTATGCAGAGCAAGAAAGGATTGTATTAACGAAATTTAGAGATTTTCTCAATAGGGTTATCACTATGGGAGAAATTAATGGTAAGTTAATACTTTCCTCTGATCTAGTTATAATTTCTTTGCAAATAATTTCTTAAAATCCTATTCTATGAATCGGTACTCTTACAAATGGACATTCTCAACCTTCAATTTGAACAACACCCACCCTCTCAATAACTGCTTCTGCTTATTTCCATTAGTCGAGTTGTCTTTGTTACCGTCTTGTTATGTATCTGTAGTTGAATATGTATTATGTATGTGTAAAGTGACTGTATTTGGGCTATGGCTCCTGCACTCCGTCTTCTTTTATGAATGGGTCCTATATTTTCGGTCTCCATTCTGGATTTTGGTCACCATTGCTTTATTTAGGTTTGGGCTATGGCTCCTACACTCCTTCATTTGAATGGGTCCTACATTTCAGGCTCCATTCCAGAATTTGGTCACCATGGCTTTATTTTGGGATATGGGTTTGGATTTCGATTATGGCTCACAAAGCTCACTTGTGTGGATTGGTGGATTCTTTTCCTCTTGCAAATCCACCCGAAATCATTTGAATTTTGGCATTGATTCCAGGAAAAGGTTACTTCGGGCAGCATGTGTCTACACAGGAGGGATTGGAATCAAATTTTGCTGAATTCCAACACAAGACACTAATGTTTGGTCCAAAATAGGGGATCCAAACTATACTTGCTTTGTCAGCTGGATTGGTGGTCGGATATTGTTCACCTTGAGCGGAAGCAGGTTAGTCTGGTAGCCTCCAGATTAACTTGAGTGAAGGTGGGGTACTTGCAAAAGCACTTAGATGCTTAAGTTTAGGATTTAGGGTTTAGATGCTTAAGTCAGTAATTATCCCATAATAAGGAATACTGTCATAAACGTGTGTACCTGGGAACTGACATCAAGTGTGTGTGTGTGTGTATATATATATATATTATATATATTTATAGGTGTTCACTATGGGCTAGAACTGTGGTTGTGAGCCCAAGGCCCCTCAGGAAGGAATTACCCTACGTGATATCACTCTTCTCTCTTGTGTGTTATTTTAGGGTCTCTTGGTTCGGGTTAGAAAAGTAAAAGAATTGGGCTTAAAGCCCACTCCGTAACAAATAGAGTTTGGTCGTCTCTATAGTTGTATAGTGTACATCAATACAGATAGTCAGATTAGCCAGCTGTTTCTAGTTTATTAATGCATAGTTAGGCCTGCTTTTATATGGCTATGTCAATTGAAATGGTTTTGTAATTTCTGATTTCCGTAGCCTCAAAGTATTAATTGTGTTGGATTCCTTGTTTGACTCCGGCAGAAATGTACAAGTATAGTTTAGTTATAGAGACTGATGCAGCATCTTGTGTATTTTTGCATTACCTACTTTATTGTCTGAAGTGGCTAATTTCTATTCCCAATTTCAGAAACAAAGTGTTCTTCATTAGCCAGAAGTGAATTAGAGAGTCAAAAGGACCCAAACATGAATTGCACCGGAAATGCCAGTACTGAGACAGTGCATCAGCAGGGAGCCACTAATAACGGTGTTGCCAAAGCTGCGGGCACCGATGTTACTCTTACTTCTACATCTTTGTTCCCTGGTAGTCTTGTTCCTGAAAATGGGGATACTTATCCGAAGAAGGTTGAAAAATAGATATGAAAGGAATCAGTCTAACTTATTAGATGAGCAGAGATAACTCTGGAAGAATATTGTGTGAAGGTATGTTAGAACTCTGAAATGTAAAAACAATTTCATTCTTCATGACATGGCTTCTCTTTGAGGGGGTCAACTGCCAAGCACACACAGACCCTCCAACTAGTTCAACTAGGATCAATTTTTTCGGTTATCAATTTTCTTCTCCTGCTTCGCTCATTCATATATAGAAATCTGAATTAATTGCTCTGCTTCGCCATAACTTGTAAATTGCAGACTTGTAATTTCATAAAAGAAGCAATGTAACCTAGAGTTTTTTTCTTCCCCTGCTTTATTCATTATTGTATTCATATCAAAAGAATTTACAGTTTGAGCTAGAGCGCGTTATAAATTGTAGTTTTTTGTTACAATCAATAGCTTTATCCAATTTCCAAATATTTATAATTTGATTTGATTCTATAGTTTGTACTGCCCATAATTCTTTTGCATTTAAGTTGATGTAGTGGCAGACTTCGGCTTGTCCTCTTGGCGTGTTCTCGTTTCTAGTCTATTTTTGTGAAAGCGACAATTGAATACTTGTTCTTAGTCGTTTAGTAGTGTTGGGGTAAGAAACGTGTTATTACCCTTTTCAGCTCATCTGTTTTTATGATTTTTGTTCTTATCCCAAAAAGCAAAAATACAAGTTCTAAGTAGTCTGCAATTATTAATTTGTTTGATTCAATTTATTTTATCAAAATAATCATATATTTGACAATTTTTTATGAGTAAATAGTGTATATATCGAGTAATAAAGGTTTTTCATAGTTATCCAATTATAAATTGTCATATTATATATATATATATATATATATATAATTTCTTGTAGTAATTTTAGAAAAATATATTTTTTATTATATAAAAAATATATAAAGTATTTATTGTCAATTATTAATTATTAGTCGTAAGTGGACACTTGTACATGTATATGGTTCATATTTACTGTCATTATATTTTCTTTAAATACTCAAATAGGGGGTCATTGTTAGAGATCAAACACATTTACATAAACTCTATATATACCAACATGTCTACTCTTAACATCTGGTTTCGAAAAATCTGTATATGTTTTAAGTATCATCTTTTCTTTCTTTTTAATATATAGAGAGTTTATATATAATAGAGTTATTTTTTTTAAAAGTAATACTAAATAATTTTTTATTAAACTCCAAGCGTGTGGTTCAATAATAGGGGTTGATCCACCTTTAAGCAAGGTCAGGGGTTCAAATCTTGTCTTGTGTGATAAATAAAAAAAAATTGATTTTTTATTAGTTGAGAATATACAATATTTTAAATAGGTTTTAAACTCATTTTTAAAAATAGAAAAAAAAATTTCTAAAAAATTATTATTTCAATGTGTTCAATTAATTAAATTAAGATGATATGTTGAGAACAATTTTTTTTATTTGTGTTATTGATATGAAATATTTATTAATTTTATTATTGATTAATTTTTGTATCAAACTTTGTTAGTTATTTTTAATTTGAATTTTTAATCATGTTTTCTTTTTCTAAAAGATTCAAATCCGAGATAATTTATAGGATTTGAATTTAATTAATTATACTAAAATTAATGCTGTAAAATTCTCGTAAATATCTATAATACGTGGTAATATGAAGTTTTAACTGTGGCATTCAGCCGTTTGCATTAAAAGTGGCGAAGGATTTACTAAGACAATTTGTGCAAATTTTAGTTTCTAATGGAGATTTCCCATTTTTTTTTTGGCACATGAATTTTCCAATATGCACTAACAATATACTTTATACAGATGTGCTATTGATTTATTCAATAATTTTTATATTTGACTAGACAAAGTCGTGTCTCAAAGTGCATTTTAGTTTTTAATTGTTAGTTCTTTAAAAAAATTATATATCATTTTTTTTTTTTTGCATTTGTATCTCTTTGTCACAATAGTTATTAAAATAAAGAGATATTTTCTTTTGGCCTTTTTAATTATTTTGTTCCTATAACTAACTCTTTCTTTTCACACTCTCTTATGTAACTACTTACTATATTATTTTTCATTTTTAACAAATAGAGAGGCACCCTAGTATCTATAGGTGGGATGAATTTTGAACAGCTAATTTAAAATTGAAAAACGTGAGGAACGTAGAAGTGACAGACTGGGCTGCCCGGCACGGGTTTGTCCATTTCCAGCTTCGGGCCCTATTGGGCTAAGTACAAATAATTTGGTTTCTATTCGAATCACAAGATAGGTTTTAGTCGATATTAAGAGAAATGCTAGTTTTTAGACATTATTTTAAACATATTTTCTCTTAATAATTTTTATTATTTAAAAATATTAAAAATCATAAAATTTGATAAATCTTACACTCTGTTTAATAATTTTTTCTTACAATCATTTAATTTTCAATGAATTCTAATCGATATAAAAAAATAATTTAAAATATATTGCTAGTATTCCTCATAATTCAAATGTGTATTTTACACTTATGCTATGCTTGAACTTGATAAGAAATAAAAAAACAAAGAAAATAATAAGACTGATAAAAACAATAAGAAAATATGTTATTTAAATAAATAGAAATAAGAAGGATTTTTTTTTATTTGAACGAGTAAACAAGAAAGTTAAAAATAATAAGTAAATTATAAAACATTAAATTTAACATAAAATAATCTAAAAAATTTACCCCCCTTTTTTTTTATATTTGTATATATTATAAAAAATAATTTGATTTTAAAAACTATGGGAAATGTAAAAGCTGAAACGGCATCGTTGCAGTGGTAGAGCATAGTAGCAGCGGCGAAGGTTTTTGATTTGATAGTGTTAGACTTAGTGTTGCATTTGTTGAGCTGAAGAGAAGAATGGCATCGTCGAAGGTTTTGTGTAGGTTGTCGTGTCGGATACAGGCTCTTGTTCACAACAACTGCACCAAACCCTTACTCTCTCTTCACCCCAATCCTCTTTCTCTCTCTGCGCGACGCCTTTCTCGCACTTCCCGGTGAGACCCACTCCATAAATATTCCCCTTTTCCATTAAAGTTTCGTTCTTGAAAACCTAAGTGGCATTTTTGTCTGATTATTTTTATTATAATATTGTAATATGGTTGGTTAGGTTACCAGTGGAGTTGGGAAGCTTGGAATCAATGATGCCGTTGTATAGCGCGGTGGCTTCAGCTCGATTAGTGTCAAGCTTGTCCATTGAGTCTCCCGGGTGGGGATTAGTTCCTCAAGGTTTGTTCTTTTCTCTCAAATTGTTGTTCGATTAATTGTTTGTGGCATCACATTAACATATTTGATATGGGATTTGTGGTAATGAATGTTCTACTGCACACAACGCAAATAGCCCTTACTTTCTTCTTCTGTTTGTATCTTCAATTGTGGATGCTTTTCTTTTTCTATTTCTCAGATGGGAATGTTGATACTTGATATCTTGTGTTGTGTGTATTCTTGCTGTTTTGTTGCGGTTGTAATTTAGTTTGAAACTCGGTTTTCCCTTGCTTTAGGAATTTGAGCCATAAGTAGGGTGACTAAACCTGCCTCGATTAGCCTTTCAAGAAGGCATGGGTTTAAATGGTTGAAAATGTTTAGTTTGCTGATTAATGTGAACATACCATTAGGTTCTTGTTGGTTAGAGGTATAGCTTTGTCGTATATGGAAGTTTTTTTATAGGATGTACCGTATCATCAGCACTTGGATATTGGGAGTATTTATATTTGTGATAACTGATAGAATTTACTTAAATGTGAGTGAATTGGTCATACGACTCGTACCATTTTCATTTAACCCATTGTTTCTAAATTTTGGAAGCTCTGAATCTAATGTTAAAGTCAGAAGAAAAAAAAAAGACAGATATTGTTGTTCATGTGATAGAAATAACACTACAATAGTTGTAATATGACTTCAAAAATGCCAAAATCATGTCGGTATTATTTTAATGAAGTTTTACTGAAGTGAATTCCACGAGTCTTAACTGTTAACTAGAGGTACCTGATGTACAAAAAGGCAAATATTTGCTTTTTTTTTTTATTTTTGCATAAATTTATACTTGATAACTCGACAAAATTAAATATCATTGTGTTCTTTTACACTTTGTTAGAAGTAGAGAAGTAGCCTGGATGAGTCAATAGCTACCTTTAATGTGAGTATTGGTATACACTGATTTATCAGGAATTTTTTTTTGAAGTACATTGCTCATAAGATAATTGCACATGTCTCATTTTCCCTTCTAATTTGAGGTACCTGATTTAATAACTGAACGGAAAGAACTTACTGTAATGCTTCCATTTGTCTATTTTGCAGGTATTTCCATGCCTTTATGACAGCATTTGTCTGCACTTAATTGCTGCAAGGTAGCAGTTTCATTGGATGGCAGGCTCATTTTGATGTTTCCATTTGTTGTATTCTTGAGGCAATTAACCTAGGATCCTTCATCTGATATATTTGAGGAACATGCAGTGCAATTGATGTTGCTTATGTATTGGTTGGTTCATTTTATCTTTATATGTTTCTGGAATATCTTTTTTGGATTTTCCAGTCTCTGGATGAGTTTTTTTTGTTAACGAATAATGCATTGAAGTGAATTATATCTGAGGAGTTAATCCATTTACTTGTTAGTGTTTCCATGATTACTACAGTTCTATGGTATTTATAAATCATTGTCAAACCAAATATGATATTGTAGTAGCGGAGTGCTACCAAGTGGGGAATGAGACTCATATTTTGTTGGACTCACATGAATTTTATCTAATAAGAGGAGTACGAGTAAGAGCCTTTGTGGAAGTTGTTATCATTAGTTAAAGGTTCTGCATCCTTGGTTAACAGTTGACATAGATGGAATGATTGATGATAAAATAGATGGTTGCTTTAGGACATGCTAAACCTTTACCTGCTGTTGACGCCTACCCTTTTATTTCTATATGTATTACAATTCCATTTTGCATTTGTTTATATCTAAGATTAGTTGAATGGTTTTCAAGAATACTTTTTTTTTTTTTATCCCAACCAATAAAAATAAAAATAATTTATTTTGTTGAATCCTGGGTTAAATTTTTCATATTTAGCATTTTATTGCAGTTGCGTGGTACTAGTTTTCACTGGAATTTGATGTTTATGTACAAGCACAGAGCATGCTCTTACTATAGCCCAAGAACGGTGTTTGTGTTGAGTGGCTTCGGGTCTTGATTCATTGTATCTGAAGTTTAGAATTTTGTTTTTCCATCAGAAAGGGACTCCTTTAATCATGTGCATGAAATTTCTGTGCTTTGAAGTGCAACACTGAATTTACCAAGTGTGCATATTAACCCCTTGCAGGGAGCTTTAAAGCACGATGACATTTTTTTCTTCAGATAGTATGCTAGTTGGAGGGGCATCTTAAAATAATGCTCCAAAATTTAGTAGTTATAACTTCATATGCCATTAAAAGTTATATTGAGTTTTTAATTAACTTGTTTGATTTCTCTTTTCAACTTCATTAAAGTGGATCTCAATATATGATTTGTTTAACGAAGTAAAAAAATTCAAATTTGACAATAGGTATGCTAGTTTCAAAGAGAAAATGAGAAATTGATGAGAGGCAAATCATTTTGATTTTTAATGAAGTGGAAAATAATTTTCCTAGTGTGCTTTAGGTTCCGGTCACATGCATTTAGCTACCTTTTACATGTTTTCGCTGTTGTATATTGAGGTAGATAAGAAATAGAATGAAAATTAAAGTTATTTGGTTTTGATGGGAGGGAAGTAAAAAATTATGGGATGAAAGATTAATCTTTTTTTATTGATTTATATCAAATTAAATAAATTTTAAAAAAAAGGTTAAACTAATATTATAAATTAATTTAAAAAATGACATTTACACTTAAATTGTTGATTGGAGTATATTTGTTATTAAATAAATCTGTATAATTTATAATGTAGTGATCATGGTAAACTATATAAACTTCGAGAAGGTACCAAAATGCAAGTAAAGTCTATATAATCTATGTCGATTATGTAACCATAATTAATTAAATGGACTTTTGGAGAGCATTAAAATGCATTTCAGTTCATATAAAATGACTAGCCAAGTCTAATAAAGTAATGGAAAGCATTCCACATAATAGATCTAATGATTCTTCATCATATAGTTTGTCCTAGATCACCTATCTCCACTTTTTTAGAGCCTCCTTCATCTAAAAAAATCTAGTGGGACTCACATATATCTTCAACTCTCTTCTTTGCTAATCAGGTTTTGCACCGAATGCCTTTATAAAATTGAGATAATCACTATTTTCTTCAAATATGACTTTCACGTAATTTATTTACACCAAATAAAGTGTTTGTCATTCAATTCAAGAATTCGGCTTGAAAAAGTTAATTTAACATCAAGGATATTATATTTAATAGTGTTTTTTTTTTAATGTTAAAAGATGTAAAATATTTTTTATTTTGTTTAAAACTATATTTAATTTTAATTGGTTAAATTTAAATCAAATTATAGTTATTTGTTCAATCATTTCACTCATTTTAAGCAATATTATTAATTATTAATATAGAATTAATTCAATATCTTTAATATAATCCAATTTTGTAAATTGATTTATGAATCAATTTTTTTTCTTAATAAGGAGGTATAACTTCCACCGGATTAGTTCCAATAGGGGTAAAGTGGTACTCTTTCTCGTGATTTCATGTTTAAGATAAAGATTAAACATCAATTTTTAGTTAAAAACTACAAGTGTCGAATTATTTAAACTAAAAAAACACAAAATCAATTTAAATTAAAATAGATAATTTTTCACAACACATATATATATATAGGTTGGTTGGCCTTGAGTTTTTTCATGTTCAAGACAAAGGGAAAAAATGTCCTAATAAATATTGAAATATTATACTCCAATTTCAAAATTTAAAAGTGTAAACATACAAATAAGTACACAATTGCATAAAAATAATAATAAAATGTACGAAATTATGAGTTATCATTAGAGATCATTATGTAATGAAAAAATAAATTAATAATGATAACACATTACAAAGAAACTTATGACAGAAAAATGAATGTTTATTATTTGATTTTGGGATTTTAACAAAGAAGGACAAGTCATGATTTTAAAAAAAAGAAAAAAATAAAGATAAAGGAAAATGGAGAAAATTAAAGATATCTCTTATTTATAATTTTTTACGTTAATAGTTATGAAAATTTACACAAAAAATAAATAAATATCATATTTTTCTCTTTACATTCAATACTATCGATTTATTTTTCCAAAATTATTGGTAAAATTTTTTTAGTAGAAAAATTGATTATTAACTAACTATTTATAAGTAATGTATTTTATCTAATAGATTTCTTATAATTTAATTATGTATTTTTTTATATTATATATGTTAAATAGTTTTTTTAGTCCCCTCCGGTAATGGAGTCCTGAGTGGTCGTCCCATCAACCCGTGTTCAGAATTATCACTAATATAGATAAAAGTTTAAACTTTAATCAATTGTATCAATCTTTGTTACCTTATTTTACATATATTTAATTATTATTTAAGCAAATTTCTATATTTACACAATTTAAAAGTTTTCAATATTTATATTAAGAATTTAATTGAAATACATTATTGTCATTTAATTATACACTCCCATGTACCTGATAATTATTAATTTAGTAATAAATTTTTTAAGAATTATATTTAAGGTATTTTTAAACGATTTCTGTGTAAAAATATTTATATTGATATAGGTTGAGAATTAAACTCTATCAAAAATTTAATTACATTTTACTAATTATTTATTATATAATTACCATTTATTACGTACGATGGGTAAGATTATTAAATTTTGATAATAATTATTTCAAAAGATATTTTTTTAATTAATTATTAATATAAAAATCTTTACACTAAAAATTGAATTAGGTTAAAAACCTAATTTGGTCCCTTATAATATTTTTTATTTCAATTTAGTCTCACTTTAATTTTTTATTTCAATTTGATCCCCAATAATTTAAATTATTACAATTTGGGACTTCCGTCTAATGATTTAAACGAAATTAATTCCTGGTGACGTGGATGCCACGTAGATGCACAATGTGGATGCATATGCTTAATTTTTTCAAGTATCTGAAACCAGAATGACCCGTTCTAAAATCGGAACGGACCGTTCTGGTTCACTCATTGTGCGTAAATTTTGCACCCGGAACGGGCGTTCCAGATGCATTATTTAACACCAACGACTGCACCAGAACGAGCCGCTTTGAAATCAGAACAGGGCGTTCTGGTTTCAAAACGGGTCGTTCCGAATTTAGAACGGGCCGTTTTAGAACGTCAACCAACACACAATGTAATTCAAAGATCAAAGACAAACCATTTACACATACATAATTTTTTATATCTAAAAAATAATATATTTTAAAAAATAAAAATTATATTCTAATATATATATATATATATATATATAATATTTAAATTATCATATGTATAAAATATAAATTTTGAAGAATTATTCATTTATCTCATATTTTTCAAACTTTTGTGTTTTCTATTTATTGTATATGTTGATAAAAACAATCAAAATTGTAAAAATTTATATCACATCAAAAACATCTTTATATGATAAATAAATTAAATTTGATTTTTTAAAGATTTAACATATTTATTTTTATGTTTTTATTAGTGTTAAATTATTATTAAGTTGGTTTTTAAGATTGTAGTTCTAACCAAACATTTTAAAAAATGTCTATGGCAGATAAATATATCATATTAATAACATGTATTTTTAATAAAAAATAGGTTTAATTCTATTAAATTATAATATAACATAATCTGACCTAATTTATTTTCATCCTTAATCGTAATTGTAGATATAAAAACTTGTAAAAAATAGGTTAAAACCCTTATTTGGTCCCTTATAATATTTTTTTTGTTTCAATTTATTCTCACTTTAATTTTTTGTTTCAATTTAGTCCCCAATAATTTAAATTATTGCAATTTGGGACTTTCGTTCAAATGATATAAACGAGTTAATTGTTGGTCACGTAGATGCCACGTAGATGCATACGTGGCTACCAAATTTCATGAATACACATGGAACCAAAACGGTCCGTTCTGAAACCAAAATGGTCTGTTCTGCTTATACACGTTATGTGTTAATTTTGCCACTAGAACGGGCCGTTCCAAATGCAAATTTAACACACCATGAGTGCACCAGAACGGGCCGTTCTAAAACCAGAACGGGCTGTTCTGGTGTTAGAACGGGCCGTTCTGGATTCAGAACGGCCTGTTCCAGAACGCCAACTTCGTTTTCCATATGTGATTCAAAAATTGAAATTAAAAATTCATAACATATCATAAATTCAAAGACAGAAACATGGTTCAGAAACTGAAAACAAAAATTCAGAACATCACATATACTAAAAAAGTTCAAAAAAATTACTGAGAATGGAAATCATCTGGGTAACACTGAAAGGAAACTCTAAACCACAAAAATTCAAGTTGTACCTCCTCAAGAACATGTTATTATTGTTGGGGTACATCGTCAATGACTTCAAGGGGAAACACCGTTTCGTTTCATCTTTGACTGTATAGTGTCAATTTGGAAGTAAGTGGTTCACTCCAGTTTGCCTAACAATGAAATAAAACCTGCTACTATTGTCCTTAGTGATACACTGCATCGTCCTTAATGATACATTGTATAGCCTAGATGTTTAACAATTGAAGTTATCAATCCTCATTGACAATATTACCAAATCAAGTGTTTGAAATGCTTTGTACCTTGGGTCTTTTTTCGTGCACGATTTACAACCGTAACTATAATTATTGACCATTCTGGAACCAGAACGGGTCGTTCTGGTTCCAGGTGTATTCAAGAAATTTGGCATCATCCACGTGACATCTACGTGGCATCCACCTAACATCCACGTGACCAACAGTTAACTCCGTTTAAATCATTTGGACGGAAGTCCCAAATTGCAATAATTTAAATTATTGAGGACCAAATCGAAACCAAAAATTAAAGTGGGACTAAATTGAAATAAAAAAATATTATCAGGGACTAAATAAGGGTTTTAACCTAAAAAATAACTATAATATATATTTATACTTTTAAAAATTATATGTAAAAATTATTTGTCGTATTTTGGAACTAGAACGGCTCGTTCTGAAACCAGAATGGTCTGTTCTGGTTTCACTTTTGATATGTTAATTTTGAATCCGGAACGGCTCGTTCTAGGGACAAAATTAACACACTAAGTGTGTAACCAGAACGGGTCGTTCCGACTCTAGATGCATTAAAAAATTTGACATCCACGTATGCATCCACGTGACATTCACGTGTCCATCCACGTGACTAATAGTTAACTTCATCTAAATCATTTGGACTGAAGTCTTAAATTATAATAATTTAAATTATTGAAAACTAAATTAAAACAAAAATTTAAAATGAGATTAAATTAAAAAAATATATTATAAAGGACTAAATTAGATTTTTAAACCATTGAACTCGAATGATTTTCCAAATCAAATGATTTCACGTACAGGGGCGGAACAATGAAGAGAAAGACACTGATCGTGTTAAGTTATGAGATCACAAAATCGTATCTAAGAGTGGAGAATTAGCAACCACACATGACATGGCACCCTTTGCCCTCAACTTCCACACTCAGCTACTTCTTCGCTCTCTCACTTCTAAGCCAAATCTTCGTGCCCTTTACCAACCTTCTACCAAAACCCTCACTTTTTGTTTCATTCAAACAAAACAACTAACTTCAATTCAATGTTCTTCACTCAACTCTCAACTTCAAACCAAGGGAACCCCTTCTGCTTCTTTCAGAGACAGGAGGGGTTCTTTGAAACCAAAAGATATCAGCAGCAGTTACGAGGTTTGTGAGAGAGTGGAAAAGAAGAAGAAGAAGAAGAAGACAAAAAAAAATAAGGATAGCCCAGAAGCTAAGTTGAAGAATGCTTTGGACATGTGTTCCAAAAGAGGGGATGTTATGGGAGCATTGTCCTTATATGACTCAGCAAGGTTAGAGGGTGTCAGACTGGGTCAGCACCATTACACAGTGTTGCTGTATCTCTGTTCTTCTGCAGCTGTTGGTGTTGTTCGACCGGCCAAAAGTGGAAGTGGTGCTAGAACTCTCAATGCACTTGTTTCCTCCAACGAGGGGTTAAGTGAATCAATGGACACAAATGACAGACATTTTGAGTTGGATGGCAATGCTGAGTTAAATTCTGATATGAATCCCACTCAAAAAGATGGGATACTATTGGTGAGTGAGGATGTCAAGAGGTATGCACTGCAGAGAGGGTATGAAGTGTATGAGAATATGTGTGTAGATAAGGTTTCAATGAACGAGGCTGCGTTGACGGCTGTGGCTCGAATGGCCATGTCCATGGGTGATGGTGACATGGCCTTTGAGATGGTGAGGCAGATGAAGGACTTGGGGATAAGTCCTAAGTTGAGGTCTTATGGTCCTGCTTTATCCACCTTTTGTGATAATGGGGAATTGGATAAGGCATTTGCTGTTGAAAAGCACATGCTAGAACATGGTGTCTACCCTGAAGAGCCTGAGTTGGAGGCTCTCTTGAGGGTGAGCATAGGAGCTGGAAATAGTGACAAGGTTTACTATGTGTTGCATAAACTAAGAAGTAGTGTGAGGAAAGTATCGCCGACTACTGCATCTTTGATTGTTGATTGGTTTAAAAGCAAACAGGCTTCAAGAATTGGGAAGAGAAAATGGGATAAAAGATTAATAATGGAAGCAATAGAGAATAATGGTGGAGGATGGTACGGGCAAGGTTGGTTGGGTAAAGGGAAATGGGAAGTTGTTCATACAACCATTGGAAAGGATGGAGTGTGTAAATGCTGTGGGGTGCACTTGACCACTATTGATCTTGATCCTATTGAGACTGAGAATTTTTCCAAGTCGGTTGCTTCCCTAGCCTTGATGAGAGAAAAAGGATCAAACTTCCTGAAATTTCAAGTAAGAAACTTGTGTAATGTGCATTTGTTCTAATCTCGTTATAGATTGATGAAGTTGGACTTGGAATATGTGAAATTGTGCATTGCAGAAATGGCTTGACTACTATGGACCTTTTGAAGCAGTGGTAGATGCTGCAAATGTAGGTCTTTTTGGCCAAGGGAGATTCATGCCACACAAGGCAAGTTACTGAATGTGGGAAATAATCTTCTTTTTGTTTTCCTGCTTTTTGTTCTTATAATGGTTATTGAGTATTCTCTTCTGAAAGTTTAGATCAAAGCTGTTGCCAATGAAATACACCAAAGGCTTCCTTCAAAGAAGTTTCCACTCATTATTTTGCATAATAAGCGTATCAAGGGAGACAAAATGGATGAACCAATCAATAGGGCATTAATTGATAAATGGAATAATGCCAATGCACTTTATGCAACACCTTCTGGATCAAATGATGATTGGTAAGAAAAAATGGGATAATATATTGTTATTAATTTTTTCTTTTTGTTATCTGTTTTTATTGATTATGCATATCATGCTTCATTTACTAAACTGTGCTTCAGGTACTGGTTGTATGCAGCTATAAAATTTAAATGCTTACTTATTACCAATGATGAGATGAGAGATCATCTTTTTCAACTTTTGGGAAATGACTTTTTCCCCAAGTGGAAAGAAAGGCATCAGGTGAGCTAAGCTTTTCGGAAAGAAAAATATTTTTGTCAGACTTTGATCTTATTGTCATTTGTCATACTGGTTTTATATATTTAATGAAATTAATCAGATATAATGTTTGGCTTTGTTTTCCTTTCTTTGATTAATTTACAATTTAAGGCACCATTCTAACACCGGAATCCCTGTGTTCCAAATTTAAGGTACGCTTCAGTTTCTCTGATACTGGTAGTCCAGTGTTTCATATGCCCCCTCCTTGTTCTGTTGTAATTCAGGTAAGCTCTTACACCGTTTCAAAATGGTGGAATATAAACACAAATTAAATTATATTTGTCTTTAAATCTAAATTTGAAACAATAAAGATGTAAAGAAAAGAAAGAAATACGGAAGGAAATATAACATGGCAATTGTGGTTGCAGGAATCAGAGGAAGGCCACTGGCATGTTCCAATTGAAACAGAACTTAACTACGAATCAGAAAGAAGATGGTTGTGCATTACCCGTGCTAAATTAGACATGGTTCGCAAAGATTGTTCAACAACATCTAAAGGTAAAATGCTGGCACACTCACCATGGATTGTATCTGGTTCACATTTACATGGTTGCTTTTACAACTACTTATTGTCTTCATTATTGTTGTTTCAATCAAATTAATGATATTAACTTTATGATCTAAGGCCTATTGGTATTTCTAAGAGTAAATATTAGTTCTCGAAAAAAAGGTTTTAAGCAGTAACAACAAATTCATTATCAAAATACATGCTACCCTAGTACATCTGGACTAATATACACTGCTAGCTTGGGAATTGTGATGTGACTTTAAAATGAAGAATTGGAATTTCATATGGTCAAAGATTAGGATTGGAAATACAAGAACTTATTACTTCGCTTAATTTTTGTTCCTCTCCTGTCTTACATAAGATTGCATTGAGGTGAAGAGAAAACACTAATTTGACTTGATTGGCTCTTCCTTTATGCTACGGTTAATGCAACTTTGATAGTCTTTTTTATTTATATTTATCTAGGTCTCCTTTTATAATGCACTGCCGCTTCTCCCCTCCTATTACACTTTGATGTAAATGCTACCTTAAAGTCCGTAAATTGGACTAGGGGAGGCTTTTGAATTGTACTGATAAAAAAAGATTGAAAAATAAAAATTCATTTCTTTCATTTATAAGAGAAGAAAAGGAATCAGAATGCCATAAACTGCTCAGGGAGTTATCATTTTTTCTAAATTAACCATTGGTAACTTTTAAGTCTAAGGGTAGCTCAAGCACCATGAAAATGATCTAACTTGTTCAGTTCTCATCATTTCTGCTCAATATATGTTCCCTGGTTAAGCTTTCCACCGCACTATTCACAACTTTCAAGCTATGAACCTTAGTAATGGTCACATGACCTGATATACATCTGTCTATTACAGTATGGCTTACCTCAAAATCCTCCAGGGTAAATAGAACATATTTTTGTATTCATTTCTGCCTTGCATCCAAGCACATGAAAACAGTTTATCAACTAGATGCCTACTTTTGTATTCTGTACTTGGAAAGAGTTACTTCAATGTATGCCATATCTATTTATTGCCAATTATAAAGTTACTCCTTTTAACTCTGCATATCAATTTGGTGAACTAACTTGATGTTATACTTATCCGCTCCTCATTTTCCCTTCCCTTTATTAGATTCTAAACCCTTGCAAAAAGCAGAATGTGCAAGATCAGCTACTAGAAATGCATCTGCAAAAGAGTAGCAACGTCAGAATCTTGTCAACCATAAAGAGAAAAAGGAAACATCTCAAGACTTGTGTAAAAATAAAGATATTTTTTTAGCACCAGTATCCTCAGATAATAATTACTCGATTTTGTCTGACATTGAGGCTGCAGAGTTGATTGGTGGTTGTACCATTGATTTTCAAATATAGAGTTCCCTTTGTGGGGTTGATTATCTTGAGCTTTGCACTGGAAAATTATCAGTGGTCTTGTGCGAGGGTCCAATATAGTTTTATATTGCAGGGCGAAATAGAAAGGATAAGTTTTAGTTCTAAATTCTAATCTAAAGTTAACTTTTCCATTCAAAACTTTTAACTGTTGTTCACGCATGGAACAAGATCTTATTTGGTAATTCGATTTTTATCCGCCATCTAATAGCTTGAAATTTCAACTAAACAGTTCTTTTGTTAATAACTCGTAATTAAATCAAATTTGAACAGCAGAAGGCATCTTAATGTAGCATTCCTTACTGAATATATAAATAAATGGTCAACGTCAACTAGTTTGTTACTGAATTTATATCTTTAGAACATGTGTATGGCCTTGTGATGTTGATGTTGAATCTTGGTCCTCTGCCAAACTACTTTTTCCACTCAGACCACACTCCTAACCGGTACTTTGTATGCTTCGTTAGTTTTATGTGTTAGTCAATATAGTGAGAACTATTATGGTTAGTTTTTCTTCTCTTCCCCATTTTCACCCAAATTTTCCGCTCATGTCCTCAATTTTCACTTCCATATACTGCCTTATAATAATCATTCACTCAATTAAGGTGCCTTAGAGGGGTCATTCCAACTACTAAAGAGTAGGTCAAGTGGAGTAAGATACGGTCTTGCGTATAAAACGTTTCGAATGCTAGTGTTCTTTAAACTTGAAGATTTTCCTTGCCTTGGACAAGAGTACCAATTTTTTCCCATGAATTTTTTTGTCCAAACTACCAAAATTGAGGGGGACATTCCAAATTGTAATATACCTCAGCACATAATGCTTATATAAATGTAGGTAGCATTTAACTGACATGCTGGAAGATCAAGGATCAGATGATGGATCCGGTTACATATAGAGACATATCTTGAAAGAGATAACCACATATATAAATGGTTAAATTATTTTGAACGCTTTCATCTCTCACTTGAGGCTCATGTACATACATATATACACATGAAACATTGCATGTGGGATGCTGTTTATGCCTCAAACCCAATAAGCTATCCAACCAGTCACGTGAAATTATAAAATATTATTAGCAACGACAACAACATATATCATATACGTGACTTGTTTTCATCAGAAAACTCATACGACAATCCCATTGAGTAGTAAATGCTTAGTAATTATGAGCAACTGCTAGTTGCATGATTGTCAATTTTTAAAGGAATGAAGTGGTAGTAGGGTCTGTCATTGCATTATTCTATGGGTCATTACTTTGATTTTTTAATTAATTAGATGCGCATAATGGTAAAAAGCAGAATATCACGGGACTGAAACTGTTTATTTGTCATCATGCATTACAATGTGTGTGCTGGCTGGTCATGGGCAACAGAATCTGTTTTCTAGGAGCATTGTTTGTTTCACCATATCTCAACCCTCCAAAAGTCACATTACTTAATACCCTCTTAAAATTACCTCATTCAGAAAAGAGAGCATTATATTAGAGCTTATATTTGCAAGCATTATTATTCTCATAAGGTAACACAAACAACTGCTATAAACAATATGATGGAGTTGAATTTCAAGTCTTTAGCTGATGCTGAGGTAGAAGAAAGCATGCGCTTTGACAAGTCTCTTCAGGTTCACATTCATACTCAGCAATGTCATATATATATTATTAGCTTTTATTTTTAATTTCCATTTTTTGTTCATGCATATGGTGGTCGCAGGAGCTGAGAGAACTAAGGGCTCAGCTACACAAAACTGCAGAATACTGTGAAACTACGTTCTCCAAAAGCGAAGAGAAGAAGAGTGAGTGAGTCCTCTAAACTCATTATGCTCTTGTACCTGTACTATTGTGGAGTACGTTATTTCTTTGTACATTGTATTTCGTTTTCCATTTTTTGCCAGTTTTAGGATTCTTTCACCTTATTATGGTTGGCCATTACACGTGGCAAGATCTTAGTCATTAACACAATAATCAGACCATTAATTGTTATTTTCCCTTTTTCATGCTTGACTCAAAAGTTGATAAATTTAGTGGAATTGAATAACTTTCGGTAGAAGAGTTTTTTCTTTTCTTTTTTTTTGATTGGTGGTCCTATATATTGGTTACTCAAAAAGCAATATATATATAAATAAAGTATTTGAATAACTGTGGTTGGTTGGGGTCTTTTAGTTGCTGTTTTAAGAGGTTACGTCTTAAAACATTTTATATAGTTTGCTTGTGGTTTGTATTTTTATTAAAGAATGTTGACCCGTGACAAATTGGTATTGGAAAATGTTGCATTGCAGTGTAATGGAGAATACAAAGGAATACATATGCAGGACCATGGTCACTGTTGTTGATCATCTTGGAAACGTTTCTGCCAACCTTGACGGCCTTATTTCTCACACAAATGCTTTTTCTCAGGCTGAGTTTCGAATCCAATGCCTACAACAAGTTAGTACACAAATTATACATCGTCCTTAAATAAATGCTTTATTTGAAAATATTATCACACTCATCATAATTCATATATAATTTTCTTTTTAACCAATTTTAATATTTGTTTCTTGACAGAGACTTCTCTCCTGTAAACAATATGCTCGTAAATTAGCCCTCGCAAAAATGCAATGGAATGACAATTCGCCTAGATTTCATTCGCGTTATTTGTCACCAAGTAAATTATTTCATATATCATATATGCACTGCCACCCCCTTTTTTCATTTTCATACAGACTATACTTTTCTCCAACCAATCACATTGTATCATTACTAATTTTCCATTTATATGATTATGTTTTTTTTTTCCAATTGCTTTTTATGATCAGCACCTGCCCTTGAGAGATCATGCAGTAAAAAAGTAATAAGGTACCTCTCCGATCCTCAACAACACATAATCTAATAATGCGACAAGGACATTACACACAAATATTAATAAAATTTTGACACCCGTAATGTCATGATCCAAAATTGGACTCGTGGATGATGCACACAATATTTTAAATTTATCGAAATTTTCTCAAGTCTTATTCTATCATTCTAACGTTCCAAAATGACATATATATGTCAGAATCTATTAACAGTTACACAACTGTCAAAAGACAATACAAAGTAAAAAAATAAAAATAAAAAAGGGCGGCCAAAACAGTAGAGGCAAAGAAGTAATCTATTGGAAGGTCCACAACTTCTTATAGTAACCTGCTACTAAGTTCTTGGATGATTTGAAAACAATAAATAATAAAGAGGTGAATTGTACAGAGTGAAAGCATAAACTATAGCGAAAAGGAAGGAGAAATAAATAATACAAGAGTAATTCACAATGATATAAAGAACTTTATTATAATATGCTAAATCAATAGAAATAATTTTACTTAATCAAGTTTTAAAGAATCTCTAATCTTCTTTTAGGTTGATCTTTATTCTTCATCTATTAGATAATATTCATGACTTTTTCTTGATTTATCTATTGAAGAGATTCGGAAAGTGAAGTTCCTTTAAAGATAGAAGATGAAGATTTGCCACTCTTTATGTACACCCATAATAAGCCTCCAGTAGAGAATTTGAAGCCTACAACAGCCACATTTAACGGGCGCAACAATTTGGCCATAGGTACGTATTGTGCAGTACTAAAATAAAGTTATATATATTGTTCTTGGACAAAAGTAATTTTCTTTTGTTTTGCATCTCTAACATTTTTCTTTTCTTTTCCATTACTATATAATTCCATGTTTTAAACAATAGTGGCACCTGTTAAGGATGGTTTGTCATTGTTAACAAAAGTTCCAAATCCTACCTTCCATTTCCAGGCAAGTGGGTACCTGTTTAATATTTTCGTGATGCATTATGATTGATATGATCAATAAATTGGGTCCTAGTCCTACATTTTTTATTTGTGAGTATGTTTGTATGTAGAGTGCCCAGAAGGTTGGACGCCACAGAAGATCCTTGTATGGTAGTGACATCTTATGGCTCTTACGCCGTTCAAAACGAGCCCAATGAAAAACTAGAGAACCTATTTTCATTTGCATATCCAGTAATAATATTTCATAGTCATCGTGGTTCATCATGCCCTCTTCTTTATATTTGGCAGTTTAATGTTAATTCTATATAAATAAAGAACCGAACATTATTAGAAAATATTTGTATTTCAGGCACTTTGAAAGTTTTTTTCTTTTTTTTCCAATGCAATTTGGGTAAGAAGTATCACCACCATGTTATATAGCAAATCTGGCACTATAAATGCTCATTTAACTCAAAATTTCCAAAATGAAAAAGCTTCATAGATCAACTACCTAAAACTGGAAATGAGCATAAAATCAAATGGATGGAGATTTCAGAAATGATCTTAGACCGGAAGGACCATGTATCACACTTTTATTTCTTTGAAGTGAAAGAAAAAAGAATCTGTCATATTAGCAGTGCAGTAATGGCACTACCTAACTAATTGCTGACAGAATGCACAAACCAGTTATCCTGAGCAACATAAAGCCCCACATACCTATTATATGCTGTTTCCCTTTCCATGAAAGAAGTACAGTTCACAAAAGCTTTTAATTTAGTTGGTTCTTAGTACTAACACACATCTGCACTGTCACTATTTTTTCTGTGGTTCAATCATTTTCTCCTTCCCCCTTCCTTCCACGTTATTGATATAATTTGCGAGTATGGAACTTCAGAAAACTAATTCAACTCAATCGTAATTATAGTCCTTTATATCATGATGTATATATGCTTCCCTTGAAATTAATCAACTTAATACTCGTGGACCCATAGTCAATGAAAAAATAGTATTAAAATTCATAGTTATGTGTAAAATTCTTATAAGCATGTCCATGCACTAACATAGAGATTAAAGATAATGACAACCTCAAAACAAGCATATTCAAAATGGAACATAGAGAGAACGAGAGATAATAGCATCTAACATACGCACAGAGAAAAGGTACAAGCAGCAGTAGCCAGCCTCAATGAATATTTTCAAAGGCAGTTAACAGTTACAAAATATCCTTATACTTTTTTTCCTTAGCCAACACATTATTCAGTTTCCCTTCTTTTTTTTTAAGAATTTTTGTTGTTCACTAACTTGCATTTATTGAATTGAATTGACCCAATGAACAATACAATCCAAACTAAATTTATTTAACTGTTTTTTTTATCAGAATTTAACTGGTTTTAATTAGATCAGGTAAATCATTTCTAACAAAGTTCTCGGATTTATTTCTTTCCATCGGATGACTTGATAAATTATTTTATTTTTTAGATTTATATATATACATATATATATATATATAATTTCTTCTTCTTTATAGAAGCTAAGACCCGCCTTGTGAGCTTAGTAGAAATGTTTCCTAGTGAGACTCCTAAATGAATCAAGAAGAAATAAAGGAAAATTGGGACATAGCAGCAATCGTAGTCTATCAATATCCTCATCTATACTAGTACTTTAGATTCATTGAGTTTATATTTTGTTTATTATTCAGCACAATTTGCAGAGTTAATTGTCATCTAATTAAACAAGTCATTAAATTCTTACCCTTCAACCCGTAGTAAGAAATCGATTAGTACTATTTAAGACAGAGGACTTTGGCCGGCAAATTGGAACGTTAACCACTATTTATGATTCGCAGATTTAGCTAAATGTTTTTAGCTAACGCTTACTCTGCAAAACCATCGACCTATCTCTATTCACTCTTATCAAACAAGCATTTTGAAGATATTGATTAAGGAAGTAATTTTTGTGCAAAGACAGTGTTTATAAGTTCAAGTTACAAAATAAAAATCAGAATGCATAAATAATAATAAAATTTATGTTGAACCTAATGCTAAAATCATTTTAATAATGTTTTAAATTTTTGATTGATTGTATCCATAAGTACTGTACTCGTGAACAATTATTCTTATCCAACAAGTGAATAATTATATTTCAAAGCTTCTTAGAAGAAAATATAACAAAATGGAATCTGAAGTTTTTTTTTTCAATGTTAAATGTAGGTGGGGTTATGTGCCTTTAAGTTCAAACTAATTCAATACCGAAAATTTTGATCATTCAACCGGTAGATATGAGGTAGTGAACAACGAACAGAAATGATTTCTCTCTCCTCACTGAACAAAAGCAAGAAATGCCCCCATCAAGGCTTAGTTTAATATAAAAAACAGTTCAACCCATGAAAGAACAATTCCTATTGATTGATCAGTAAACATTTTTGGAAAGTCCATCTTTTAAGAAATAATTATTATTTTAAGTTTCGTTTCTTCTAAAAGAATGGATTATAAAAATAAATTGAACAAACACGCATTGAGGATATGTAAAAGTTTTTTACATTACTCAATTGATGCTGTCTCGACCCTTGTGTTATGTTACAAAGGCAACGATCATTTACATGTATCATTTCATTAACCAATTGAATCATAATTAAGTGGCTAATGTTATGTCACTGTCCAATCTCCACACCCCACAACAAGTAAACACGCCCTTTTATGGTAATTTACTCAAAAAAGTCTTTTATAGAAAAGAAAAAGGGAAATACTAATGTTCTGAACAGAATTTTTGGCTTCACCTACTTGAGTGTAGTGCCAGTTTTTCAACTTTCCATTGAGTGTGTGTGTGTAACTGACACTTTACTCTCCTGGTTATGCTTCCTTGCACTCTGCAATATGTGTACGACCAAAACCATCATCTCTGATTTATTACATCCTTAATCTTTAATCGATCCCAATAAATAAAGTAAGGAACTGCACTCCAAGTCCAACCTCTGCACCTGACAACACTGTTTTGCAAAGCAAAAAGAAAACTCACAGCTGATGCAACCACTTCATCATATTGTGTTACTTACTCCCGTGGATGAATCTTCTACATCCCTTCTTGCTTCCTCACTCGCATAGTAACAACATCATTCCTTGTTTTCAACAGTTTCTTTCTAATATGGGTTACGTTATGTTGTTCTACTGCTGATGATTCTGGCATCTATGAGCTCCACACGACATCGTTCTCGATTCATGCTAAGAATGAAGAGCTAAAAAAAGGGTAAGTATGCATGAAACCATGACTCCCTTTCGTGTGCTTTTGAGCTTAAAAGTCGCATTTTGTTTTCCATGTGTTTTTTTTTCCCTTAAACAAAGTATGGGGGAATGTAAGGTTTTGTCAACTCGGAGGATGAAGAATAAGGAGTATATCTTTTCTGAAAATAATATGTATATATGAAGGAATCATGAAAAATTAAAAGGAAGTTTGTGTTTTTACTGTCTGAAATCTTCAGCCTGCCTTACCCTTTTTTTCCTCCTCAATTTAGCAATTTTTCATATTTATTATATAATGTGTGTGTTATATCCTTATGATTTCAGTGGTTTCACTCACAGATCAACTCTCTCTGCCTATAAATGGTAGTTACGAGAATCAAGTTGGAAAATATAAAAACAGCCTAGTTGACAAAATTCAATGCTAAATGATAATGATCTAGACATGTTTCTTTTTTTCCCCTTTGTTGATGTTTCTTTGATGTATTTTCATTTTGGATGGCATTGTCGATGGGGACTGATTATTTAAGTTCTTGACTGCTTATGTTTCAGTGAGACAAGCAAATATTAACTTTGTCTGCTGTTAAACTGTGAGATTCAAGGGGACTTCACTACGGAAGTATTCTATAAAATTTTAATAAGAATTGGTGGCAAGTGCTTTTGGAATATAATTATAAACAACTTCAGTTTGTTAATGAAAGTTATGTGACAGAATATCACCAGGATTCAGCCATGTATAGATCATTTCTTACATGTGATGATCCAAAAGGAGTAGTAGAATGTGGGACAATCGGGAAATACAGGACGCGTTATCACAAAATGAAGAACAAGACAAAAATTCGTAAGACAAGGGAAAACTTGGAGACATCCTTGATGAACAAAAGATACAAACAAGAGAACAAGGTGCCAAAAGGTTGCGATGGAAATCTCATTGGTCCATCATCTTTGCAGCTCACACAGGTCTCCGGAGGGGATCAAAGTTTGAACAACATGATAGATTCATGGTCTAGAGATCTTATATATGATGGAAAATCTGAAGATATAGCAAATGGTATTTTAAATGGAGCTCTTGGTCTGCAAGGTTCTCTAATCATGCTTCGCAAGTTGCAAGGGGCTTCACCATATACAGCTTCTTTTAGGAGAAAACAGACTAAGAAACCTGAAAGAGACATAATTGATGCAAAGATGATTGGTGGAACGCAGGCTAATCCATTTAGGGAACAAAGTAATCCAAAGGGATTTCAAAGACCACAGCCTTCTGCTGGTGGTTCTTCAAGTAATTGCAAAGAGGAACTTAAGAAGGTTATTAAGGAGAGTTTGGTTAGGAAAAATATGTTTCCAAAAATGATCAATGAAGGATTGAATTCAGCTTCAGAAACTTTTTCTACAAGCAGGACTAATAGCAGCCTTTCTGATCCTTCTTTCTCGGTAATAGCTTCAAAGATGGAAAGAGGAACTAGCCTAGTCGTCAAGCTGATGGGTTTAGAAGAAGCCCCCTCAAAATCATTTCCAGCTGTTAAGCAGGAACTGTTGGATGGTGAGATAGATATGTCAAAGGTGAGAAAGAATGATTCTATAGCCAAGAAGGTTAATCCAGAACAAAGGGCCCAGAGGGAAACTCTTGACACCATGCATTTCAAAAGACTTCTGAGAAAGAGTTTATTCAAAGAGCCTAAGCTTCATGTCCATCATTTCGATGATACCAATTCCAAGCATTTTGATGATTTATCAAACATTACACTAATGAAGCCTCAATGTACTCTTTATCAGGAATCAGTAAAAAGTACCTATGTGCCAGTACCTCCAAAAGAGTTATCCATAACAAAACTGAAAGCAGAAATAGCCTCTTCCAAAACCATCAAACAAGGAAAAGGTTCCAGCTCCACCAACATGGAAAAAGATGTAAGAAAATGGCTTAAAAAAGGACCTAAATTTCTCAAGGAGGTTATGAAATTGGATGCAAAAGGAAACAATCATGTTGAAGAATCATCAGATAAGGTAAAACTGTACTGTCACATTGGTCACACATCACAGGTAAATGAGACAATTGATAAAAAATGGAAGGTACATGCCATCGGTAGAAAACACACAGAAAAGGATATCCCAGAGCCTCCAATTGTGACAATACCTCAACATCAACGAGAAACCACCTCCACTAAATTGAGGAAGCTAAAAAGTGGGTCCAGAATCGATAAGAACGAGATTTCTTGCCTAAATAGCACAGGTTCAAAAAACATCTCCATATCTAGAACAGAGTCACAAAAAATTAATAATTCCGAGGACCTTAATATTGAGATTAAATTTTTTGATTCTGTGGTAGATTCCTTAACAGGTAGAAAGAATCATATGAAGAACCAAAGCCCTGTTGCTGAGCCTGAACAAGCTAAGGTAACTGTAAGTTTACTTTTTACTGCATTCATATACATACATGCATATATGCATTGCAATATATGTAGGAATCTAAACGTGGAAAGTACTACGTTGAAAACAGTTTTGGGTTGTAAAGTAAACTCGTGAATCAATGAATGAAGCTTCTGAGTTTGAATTACAATTCTTCTACACAGGTTGAACAAATCAGGCAGGGAGATGAGAAGAAAAATTACACTGAGATTAGAATCGCCTCTACGCTAGAAGATGAACTCCTAATGGTGTGTGAGGCAGATGCTAGCATAATAAACAAAAATGGAGGTAAGCTTAAGTTATTACTACTGAGTACTGACAGAATTGAAATGAAACTCAAAATGCATTGGTAGTGCATCTTCTTTGTATTTATCTTTTTCAAGGATATGAAAGTAGCATGTCTTCTTAATTTCTTGGACAGTATCAAAATGTTATTACTGAAGTTTCGTAGCATAGCGAAGAAATTGTGGGCTTGAACCATAAATTGTGTGCTTATTAGACCAAGGAATAAATTGAGAGATTCTTCATCACATGACACACGTTTTGATTCTGTTTTATGTGACTTGTTTGTTATTTTGACGTCATAGAAAAATGCAAGCAGAGGAAGAATTTTTCAGGCAATGACATTATTATGCTGCTTAAGTCTGAACATGAAAATGCCGATAAAGAGGGGACTGAACTGAAGCATTTTCTATTAACCAATCCTTCATTCATTGGACATGCAAAGAAGCTCTTCAATCTTGATATGGATTTTCCCAACATGCCACAAAATGATGAAACCAATTACAGCACAGGCAATCTCAGGCTTGATTTGGATTGTGCATATGAACTCATTGAGCATAAAAGCCTTCAAGAGTCACAAGTAGTTCGTTCCTTCTTGCTAGCTTGTAGGGGGAACTCAAGATTACACATCTCCTTAGGCAGGTTGGTTGAAGAGATCTGTAATGGCATTGAGAATCTGAAATTTTACAGGGAAGTTATTGCAGGCAATGTGTTTGGTATGATGGAGAAAGACATAAAGAGCAATGGAGTGATAAGTAGTACATGGGAGAGGGGTTGGAGGCCTGGATATTGTGCAGATGAGGCTGAGCTAGTTGTCAATAGAATAGAGAGCATGCTTCTGAGTGGATTAATTGAGGAGCTTATTATAAATTTATGATTACATAACATTAAATATTTTGACATTAGAGGAGTCCACGGTCTTAGAAAATCAGTATCTTCACGGGTTCACCTTGTATATAAGGATTGATTGTACAAGAGTTGAAAGTTAAAACTGTTGGCTGCAGAAGTTGCCTAGTTACGTAAATCTATAAATCACAAACTCTCCTACTGTTACGTAACATTGTTAATCTTTTATCTAATCATATCATATATGATGTAAAGTAATATACTTCAGTCTTCACCAAAGAAAAATAGTAGGTGTAAAACTATTATCTTTTGTGTTTATTATTTTAAATTTTTTTTATGTTTTTTTTTTAATCTATCCTAAGGTCACTTTTAATTGTCTGCAAAAGTTTTTGAACGTGTATAAAAATTTAAGCCAAATAAGATTTTATGTAAGTTTAATTTTTTTTTTTGTTATAGTTTCATAAACTTTTTTTTAGTTTATATAATTGCATAAATTTTTGTTTTTATTCATTCTAGTTACATAAATTTCCTCTTTTAGTCCATATAATTGCATGAGTTTTTTTTCTTTCAATTCCTATAAAATAACAACGTAGACTAAAAGAGAAAAAGTGATATATATTAAGACTAAAATGAGATGTTTTTCTCATCAAAACCTTAAAAAAATGATATGTTTTGAACTATAAAAACTAAAACATAAAATTTAGGAAATAAGATGATTAAAATTGTAATTTAAATACATTGGCATATCTACTTATAAATTTTTTACATATATAATAAGAGAGTTAATTTTTATAATAATCATATTTATAGAAATATTTAATTAAGAGTACAAAAAATCATGTTAACAAAATATGAAATATAAATTTAATTAAATATAAATAAATAAAACTTACACAGCTAATATAAAAGTTTGTATATTATTATCTGTTGGGATTCATCCCAAGTCCCACATCTGTAAAATGGAGGAACATTGGCTAGTTTATAAGGGTGTCCACCATTCCATATAGTATGAGGCCTTTTAAGAAAGAGCCCAAAAACAAAACCGTGCGGGCCTAACAAGTGGTATTGTTCGCTTTGGACTAGGCCCGCACAGTTTTATTTTTGGACTTCTTCCCAAAAAGTCTCACTACTATATGGAATGGTAGACAAACCACTTTATACTTAGTTTATTAAATTTTATAATAACTGACATAAAACTCATATCATAGTATTTGCACGCTAAATTTTTTTCCTCTCAATCTTTCTCATCTTTACATTTTAAAAACTAAAATTTATCAAGTTAATACAAGTTATAACGATTTGCACGCTTTTTTTTTTCCTTATATCTTTTTTGCTACATGTATATCCTTTGTTAATAATAATTTATAATAATTAATAAAGGAAATATATTTTTAAATAATAATTTCTGTCTTATTTTTTTTAAAAAAAGTTTGTTTATTTAATTATACAGTATCTTAAAAAAATAAAATGGAAAAATATATGAAAAAATATATCTGTCTGTATAACTGTTGGAAACACAAAGTATCTTGTCTTTTCTAATAATAATAATGCAATCGACGAATTTTTTACTATATTTTTTTAATCTTTATTCAATTTTTAAATATTTTACACACTTATTATAAATAAATTTAAAATAACAATAAGAGTTAAAAATAATGTTAAAACAACGAAGACAATAATTAAACTGTCGGTATGCATGCTAAAAGTTCCGAGTGATTATTCCAAGTTGGGAACCATAATTTGATTTTTCCAAAGAGAAGAAATGAATGTTGTTATATATTAGGAAAAGGAAATTAAAAGAAACGAATAAAGCTCAGACAAATTTATTTATTTTACTCTTTTTCACTTAAAGCAGAGACAACATATCAATCATAGTTGGATTGATATTGACATAGGAGAATCCAGAGTTGTCGAAAAGTCGATTTGTGAGAGTATAATGGAGACACTTCAATAACTCTTCCATGCTCATGCTGTAACATCTGAAATGTTCTGCTAATGCATGGAACAAAATCAGATCAAGAGGGATGAATAAAGAAGCTATGGATTCTTCCCCCAATAACCCTGTTTTCTAACTCAGATTGCACATAAATCAAGATGTTCCCTTAAAGATAAGAAAATTAAGGGTCTCCAGAGCAAAATAGATGAAAGTCCCTGATGAATGGGTGAAATAGCACCCAAAATTGGATCCCACCACACATTGCCAACCATTCCCATACACACTATCAAATTCCTGAAATAATCAATAGAAGAAAAAAAATATGTATCACACGCACCCAAAAAAAAACAAAACTTTTTATATAGGCAAACACATAAAAATAAAAAATAAAAAAAGTGCCATACCTTTTTGATATGGGCAGCAATGGATATGCAATCAGAAACATCATGAAGATCAAGGGCCTGAGAAGCAGAGGCCATGGCATGGATCTGCATCTTCAGTGGCATGTCTGTTTCTTTCACCAAAGCTTTTCCTTCCAACATCCTTAAAGAGAAGTGGTTCTGATTCTCCTTATGTTGTTGTATGCTACAACTTACAAGGTTTATGTAGTGGTAATAATCTGTTATCTATGGCTGAGATTGTGGCAGCAGAAAAACAAAGCCCAGTTGCAAGAAATGGAATGATACAATGGAAAATAGGGTGATGTTATTATTGATGGTTGGCACTACTTTGAGAGATGAACGTACACGTAACCTCACCTTTATGTTCAGCTAACTTGTCTCTTTCTGCTTCTGTCTAATCCCTTTTCTAACGCACTCCATTCACCAACAAACCAATGTGAATCGATACTTTATGTTCTTCAAACTGCAACGGCTTATTATCACATAACGCGCGTAAAAAAAATATATATTTGGAAAAGTGAAAGCTGTTATGTAGGTGTTAGTGTGGAATTTTGACGCCATTTTCTATAAATTGACGCAAAACCACATTTATATATTACTAATAAAAATAAATAATTATTTCAATTTTTTGGTACTTAAGAAAAATAATTTTTTAAGCATATATTTTTTAATCGTTATTTACTACTATAATGGTTAGCGAAACTATATTAAAACTATGTACTTTAAGAAAATATATGAAGTTATTTAGAAAATAATAAAAATGCCTTTTGCTAAATAATGCATCGGATCGAGATTTCTTGATTGAAAATGTCAAAATTCCTATGCGTGGAAATAAATTATTGAATGATAAGAGGTTTTTTATTTAATTTTATGAATAATCAATATTATCTTGTAAATTATTGAAATTTGATTTCCTTAGTTGTTTTATTCATTATGTTTAGTTAAAGGTATTTTTATAATAAATAATGTAGTGAATGATTTTGTGCATTGAGATTGATGAAATCTATACACGCAGGAAAGAGATAAAAGATGCTATGTATATCCGCGCCCTCGATTGGCGCAGAATACAGATTAGCGCGAATCCACGTACTCGAATCTTGATCCTAATCCTAATCCTAATCCTTGTGCTTGCTTGATGAATATGCATACGCAATGCAAGACAATTGTGCAAGTGTCATCACTAGGCTTCAAATTCAACTATGGCCCATTTTATAAGGGTCTGGCTTTTTGTCTTTTGAGACTTAACTAGCCCATTCCAGTTTGTCTCATAACTGCTACAAAATTTGATTTCCAGCAATAAGGTTCTAATATGAACCAATGGGAACATGCTTGGTTTATATATTTCGCAATGCTAGATTGTGAGTTTGCGACAATACTAGTTGTGTGTTTGATTCCTCGTTTAATATTTAATAAGTGTGTTTTTCATATTTTCACGTCAAAAATCCAAATTATCGCAGAAGCTACATCTGGAGGTGCGTCAACTCTTGCAAGACGCCAAATCAGAAACACCTTGAAACAAAATGTGATGAATAATCGTTCAGTTGTTTGACTAACAGAACTACAGTAGGTTCCCTCTTCTGTAGTTATGTTAAGCATGATTTTTATATGGCGTCTTGTATTAAGGCTTTTAATCCACTAAAAGCATTTTATTTTTAACTCAATGAAATGTATCGAGAGGTTACAAAAATTTCATTAGGGTGTCATGGTTGCATATCGTTTAGCCTTTTAAGGTCTTGTATATTGACATAGAATTTTAGCAAATTCAACATATTATACAACCAACATTCTATCATTAAAAAAATGTCATATAATAGCATATGCGTATGAATGGAGAACAAAAAATCACGAAGAATGTAACTCTAACCATCAAGATATAGCATTTTTTCATCAAGAACGTCTCACATAAGCTACAACTCTTTGGAAAAAGGTTTCACCAAACAATCAATCACACAAGTCCAAAAAAAACTACTTAGTCTTCGATAAAATCCAGCAAGCTCACCAACAAAACTCAAAAGCCAACCAATTGAACTTGAAATCAAGTTCTTAGGATGAAAAAGAATAGAAGATGATGAGAGGTGGATTTTGAACTCAGTAGGAGAAGAACATGAGAATAATATCACCTTGTATAAGGAATATGAAGAATATGAGAGCCTTGAGCTTGTAGACGCCTTGAAACAGTAGGGACATTTAAGGATTTAAGCTTCAATGGAAAGAAGTGGGAGAAAATTGAGGTAAAAAGGGCTTCATCATATAGAGAAAATGAGGAGAAAAGATTGGAGTGTTGAAGTTTAAAGCAACAATTTTCAAAATGATAAAGGTATCATACTAGTGTTTTACAAATAGGAGTTTTGAATTAATCATAATACTTTAATGATTTTAAATTTGATAATAATATGTCATATGTACAAATTAGATTGGGTTAAGTTGGATTTGAAAGTTAAAATTAGTTATCTAATATATAAATAAGATGGATTATATTTAATCTAAATATTAAAATTTTAATTTGAAATAATTGGATTAATTTAAATTGATTCGAACTCACGAGTTATTTAAACTCGTGAACATTCTTGTTAAATCGTAAAGAGAGGAATAAGTTCACGAAGATAGAAGTTATATATATATATATATATGAATGATTAGTGATTCATTTACTTTTTTTTCAAAATTTATTAAATTTTAATGTAATTTTATTGGATTGAAATTTTCAAAGACTATTTTGACATAAAAAAATATTATGAATTTATATATATGTAATGACTTAAAAAAATAAAATAAAAATATTTTTAAAATAAAATTTATTTAATTTTTAAAATATTAGTTTTGTGGATTAATTGAATATTTATCCATAAGAAAATTGTTAGTGGATGGGTTGGATTTTTTTTAAATGGGTTGGATAAATTGTATTTTTAAGTTATTTTATAATTAATCCAAATGAATTGATGAATTAATGAAATATTTTTATTTGGTCCATTATAATTCATCTAAAAATTATCTAATCTAACTATTTGTCACTCTTGTTAGAACCCAATTTAACCCAATATCTTCCAAATAATTTATTTTTTAAATAGAAAAAATGAGACATTATATGTCTCATCGTTGTTTTAAAAAATAAATAAGTAATAATAAGAAATAGAAGATGAAATAAGAGGATGAAATAAGAGGCTGTACAATTAATTTTATATTAGTGAGTAGTTATGTATATTAGTATAGGGATAATAAAGACAAAAAAATTAGACACCAAAACATCATATTTCCCCTATTAATTATTATAGATTAAAACATTAAAATAATTATTTACTAAATAATAATTTAATAGATATTATTTATAAGAAACATTGAGGTGTTACACATATTTAGAATAGGAAAATGCTAAAATATAAACAGACGAAGTGAAACATATTAGAATTGAACCATCTATTTGCTGGATTGTAAACTAATTAAGTTGGG